ATGCATTAATATTCTCTATTATCTATTATCCTTTAGTCATGTTATGGCTTGTTAGTTTAGGGCATCTCTACTCGTTAAGATTATCATTATGAGAATATCCTAAAGAATATTAATATGATGAAATGTCTTTTTTTATGGTAAAAAACATTGGAATATAACATGTCATTAGTATGTACCTCGTGCAATGCACGAGACATAGATATTAAATGAATTATTTTCAGACGACTCTGTTCGTTTAAGTTTAAAAATAATATGGTTATCATATATTTTTCACTTGTATATTATGGCTAGCTTGTAAAGTAATTAATATATTATCTATACATATTTAATTTTTTTTTATCGGTTATACATATTTATTTTTAATTTGAAAAAAAAAAGTTTGACCGATTGAGTATTAAATCAGCACTAATTAATTTATTAAGCAAGTAAAGACACAAAACAAGACAATTTAATTATCCAGCAATATAGAGTAATATATAGTTATTTCATTTATTAAACATTATTTTTAAAAATAAAACAACATCAGCCCAAAATAATAGACAACATTCATGGTTTTGTTGAAAACCAAAATAACAAAATCCTTAATTAGTGGGTAGCATTTAATGCTACTTTTTTTATTAAAAAGAAAAAGAAAAGTTACTAAGAATGGAATGTAATTAATGCAAAATGATTTTGACCAAAATTTGACCAACTATTTTTGAAAAATGGTAAATCTTTTTATATATATATATATATATTTTGGATTTATAGCACACTTGATTAAGCCTTAATGTTATGCATTAATATTCTCTATTATCTATTATCCTTTTGTCATGTTATGGCTCGTTAGTTTAGGACATCTCTACTCGTTAAGACTCGAAAATAAAAATTTATAGACCTCGACAACGACAAGTTTGAGCTCGTTTATTGGCTCGTTAGCTCAACAAGTTGAGCTCGACTTAGCTTGAGCATGAGATCGATTATCAAGAGATCAAGTATAAGTTCGAGTATCAAGAGCTCGAGCTAAAGTTTATGTGAGCTCGTTTACATCCTAATTATATTATAGGGTTAGGTTTTTAGACTACTAAAAGTGATTAATTTTATTGAGCAATAACATATGATAACTCATAGTGTCAAATATTTGTAGGGTGTTTGCAATATTCGTGTAACATGAGTACAAAAGTAGTTCTCACTGTAGAAACATTTCTAGTGAAACTTGGATAAGAATTATGGAATTTTTATTTCCTGAAATGGATTGTAGGAATACGGCGATTATCCATAACAAGCAATGGAATAACTTAAATATTCAAAGGTCAAATGTAACTTAAACTATTGTGCATGAATAAAAAATAGTATACCAACAGAACACAAAGATAGATTTATTTGCACATCAACAAAAACACATAATCCATTATCATTCAAAAGCTTTTCATCTCCAGTATCAATATAACTGAATAAACCCCAAATCTCGAAAAAGGTCCGCCTCTCTCGAGAACATTACAACCGGGCAGCAGGAAACGCATGTGGAGCATCCCATTCGGTCACGATGTCATTTCGAGTAATCTCATTCAACGAGCGGCAACCATTTAGTGCCATGATCAGCTCAACTCGTCCTGCAACATTTTGAGCACTTTCCTCATGTCGGCTTCTCCCTCAGCGGCCAACGAGTACACGACAGATCACCCAATCTAATGACGAAAAACAAATTCATTTCAGTGGAAAAAAGGTTCGGACGGGCATAAAAACTACAATCATAAGCATTCTAGAATATCTTGAGTAATGATCATTTGCGTATCTGTAGATTTGATGGAGAACAAGAATTCTCACTTGCGAAGTGCAACTATTGTGATACGATTTACGAAGATTCCAGAGGCTCCAATGCTAATGCCTTGAAGACATCTGTCCCACGACGAACCCTACCATCCAAGAATATTGGCACTCGGCCTTGTGCAGCTTTCACAACCTAATGCCTTCCACCTAAGCTGCGCAGGAAAGGCCCAAACCCAATCCCAGGTTATTTCATCTATTCCATGACCGGAAGAGGGGAAATGATCAGACGAAAATCGAGCGGATATTTTTAAAACCTTTTTAACATAAATTGGGTACCTCTTCAAGAGCCCGATAGTTGAAAGGACATAATCCAGCTGACGAACACCATGGTCATACACAATAATACCCGTCGCACCATTCTGAATGGAGATCCTTGTTGTATTTCGTGACAATAAATAAATAATTATGAGCATTTATTTATATGGCACAATAAAATTAGTGAAAAAACATATCATGTGTTTGAGTTCTTACCATCTTCAGCAGTGAGTACACCTTTAACCAGAATAGGCAGTGAAGTAATTGATTGAAGCCACTTCACATCCCATTGACATTGAAATAGGTACATTTCAGCCTATATAGTCTTCATTCAAATAGATAACTTTCAAACATAATGTGGAGAGATAGATGTTTGATAATAATTTTATTCTTTCAGTCTAGTGTTTTTCATTAATTTGAGAACAGATGTTAATATATGATTCATTCCCGATGAAGTGAATAGAGGTATCAGAGAGGGCGTGGGACCTGTGATGACGTACCCATTAGCCAGCCTCTTCAAGTAAGGGGGCGTATTAGAATATCACTTGTGAGTTCCTAACTTATTAGTCTTCCCACTGTTTTTCCTTTATCTTTTATACATGGAACTTATTGGTTTCATTGATTTTCCCACATCCTTTAAACAGGGCATAACTTCTTTATACAGGAAAAGTTTTCCCGCATTATTTATACATGTCTAACTTATAAGTCTAATGAGTCATTGCTCCTTGTTATCAATCGGTTTTTCCACACATTATTTATATATAAAAAATTAGGTTTAGCTTATTAGCCTAGTACTCCTGCTAGTATTGATTTTGGGTTTCCCACATCCTTTATACATGAAAAATAGTCATATAAGTCTAGTAGGTGCGTTTCACGTGCATCGGACCACACCCGTTTATCCCGATTCTTACCGAAAATCATACAATAAGCACATGATATTTAGGAAAAATTTCATTGTAAGGCTTGACTTTTTGTTATTGTGTTACAATAAGACTTGGATTTTTATCTTTTTTATTTGAGGGTCTCAATTTAACTATTCTCAATATAAGATCTACTTTTACATTCTAATTTTAAATTTAAGGCGTCGAGTAACTTTGTATCTTAATATAATTATGTAAATCACAATACTCTTTTTTTTTTTTTTAAA